TATACGGGCAGCCGCGGCCCTCCGCCTCTGCTTCCGGCCTCGTGCTGCCCGCCCGGGCCGGGCAGAGCCGCGGGCGCTTCCGGACCACACGGCACAGCCCTGCCTCGCCTGCAGAACGGGCTGGGGTCCGGGCCCATCCTCCCCTTCCAACCTTGCTCCATCTTTGCTCTCCTCCGCTCCAGTGGCCTTCCAGCTGGGGCGGTTCCTGGCCCTGACTGATTCTGTGCCGCTCTTGGCGGCCGGAGAGAGAGTTTGGAACCGCCGCCCCAGTCCGAAGACACGGAGTTTAATTCTTCCTCCTCCTCCTCCTCCTCCTCAACCGAATCCCTTTTCTGGAGAACGCGGATGGCAGAAACAAGGGGAAGAACGGAGGAAAGCTGCTGCGGGCGAGGGCTGGGTCTCTGCACGGGGAGGGGAGGTGACTGACCATCAAAGGTTGGAAGTAGCCCCCTTGAAGGGTGAAAAAGCTGGAATGGGTGCGCCGTGTCCATGGTGGGGGTGGCTAGGAGGGGAATATCTGGGGGCCTCTAGGCCACAGAGAAGGCCAGGAAGAGCTTGTCTAAAAGTGGGAATGGGACCCACGCATTCCACAGGGAAGACACGCCGTGGCGCCAGTTCTGCCTGCTCGCGCTCGATCCGTCTGCAAGTTCTGGAGGGCAACAGAAGGCTGGGCTCTCCCCATCTCTTTCTTCCAAGTGGGGCTGCGGGATACATAACGGCTCCTTCCATGGGGTGCTTCCTTCTGTTGCCCACTCAGGTCCCAATCTGCCATCCCCCCCCCCCAAAGACATCTCTTTTCTACCTCTGCTGCTTTCCATCCGAAGGAGCCATGGCCATGTTTTCATCACTTAATCTTCCTTTTTCACATCTGGAAGCAAATACAAAGCTTTCATATGGCAGTGTAGGATAAAAGTTTGGCCAGACACGTCTCTTTTCGCTTGCTGTTTTAAAGCATTCTATTGAACGGATAAATTGGTTTTAAGGGAATTGATCTGCCTATACAGTTAGGTAAATCAGCGAAACTTCTTTAGATCGATTGCAAAGATGTTTCTTACTAAACTTAGAAGAGGCATTCTGGGTACTTTTGAATGAGACTGGATCTGTATTGGACATGGACGCACTGCTATTTTTAACCTAGAGTTTGTGTGTGATTAATCCCTTGTAGGGGAGATGATTCTTACATAAATGTAGGATACAAATAATATGTTTCACGAGGAGAGGAGAGGAGAGGAGAGGAGAGGAGAGGAGAGGAGAGGAGAGGCATTTTCCCAGTTGTGCACATGATGGAATGCCTCTTCTGAAATGATGGCTGCCACAGATGGTGTCCTTTCTCTCCCCTTTTTTCAAAAGGGCTCAAGACTTTTTTCACGAGGCCTTTTCGTACTAATTGCCGCTGCTTCTGCACATTTTCTCCTGGCCTGTTTCACCAGCAGAAGATTTGATTTTGTTTCTGGTTGCATCTGTAACGGAGTGCATGTTTTATCATGTGCTGCCTTGCACGGATAATCATCCTGGAGAATGGACTATACTTGCTTACAAGAATAAAAGGGATTCCAACCTATAGGTCCCCCCCACAGCCTGCGCTGCCCTTGCCATAACCCAGACCACGTGGGCCTTGCACCCCGATACCGTGGGCTCTCAAATAAGGCCTCCGGGGTCTGTAGTCGTCAAACTGTAGGGGAAGGCGTGAGTCACAATCCAGGATCTCAGGGTGGTACAATTCACTGCCAGTTTTATAGCTGGCCTTGCAAGCGGTTTTTCAAATAAACCAACTCCCGTTCCCTCTTTAGAAATCTAAATTATAGTCCGCAGGCCACAGAATAGCCGCCGGTTGGCCAGTATGGAAAGAAAGCCACAGAACCCAGCGTTCAGGGGTACAGCTGCAGAGGAGCTGACGTAGAAGGAAAAGGGAGCTGTCCCCCCGCTTCCCTGCACTGATTTTAAAATTTAACTCACTTTAGTAAAGCAGGGCTGGGCTCTTGCTTGAAGATTGTGGAGAATGCAACGAACTCCGCATACCTCTATTTTAAGGAAGAACGAGCAAAATGCACCAAAGCCAGCCAAGTTGCTAACCGAAGAGAACCTGCAGGAAATGAAAATAAATGTCTACCCACCCCAAATGAAACCCAGAATGGTGCAGTGTTAAAAGCATTGGGCTTTGGTGCTGGACTTGATCGTTTGTGTTTAGAAAATCCCAGCGTCCCCCAATTCGCATGGTGGTGGCAGAGGATTCTGGGAATTGAAGTCCACACATCTGGAGGGTGCTTGGGTTGGGAAAGCTGGATTGATTAGAAACTGAAGGACCCAACACCCCTACTGTGGCCAGCCAGATATCTCTAGGAAGCTCACCCTGTAGCACCCAGCCTTAGCAACAGGTATTGTGAGGTAGGCTGCCCCTGAATGTGGAGGCTTACATAGAGGCTCCCAGCAACTGAAACATCTCTCCTGAATTTTCGATCGCTTTTGCTCATGGATGCAAAGATTGGCCTGACGTTTTTTCTCCTTCTTTGCACAGCTGTTTGATGCCCACGATCTCTACTCCGGAGAAAACTTCTCCAAGGTACTGACTGCCCTTTCTTCTCTCAACAGAGCAACTGAAGGTAAGGAAAAGAAAAAGTTATGTCACAGTGCTTTCCTGCGGACGTCTCTTGTGGAAGCAAAGGCCTTGATTCCTCAGCTTTGTTCTGAGCTCCAGAGATATTTCTCCAGGCGGCACCTCGCCAACCGTGGCTAGTTTCAAAAAGCTAAGCAGGGCTGGAAACAGCCACGACACCCCAGGGCTGGGGGAACATCCTGAAGGAAGGCGGGGCGAACTGTCCGGGTCGTTGCTAAATAAAGCCCGAAGACGTGTCCAGAGAGGCCTCAGGGGCCAGGCTAGACTTGAAAGAGGCTTTATCTTTACAACAGGGAGCATCTCCATACACACCCAGCCCCAGCCCCATCTATCTATCTGCAGTGTAACAATAGAAGAAAAGCTGTCCCTTTTGGCTGTTCCCATATAAACTGGTGCTTACTCCTTCTCAAAGATAAAAATGTACTCCCTTTTTATTATTTTCCCATATTCTATTTTTTTAAGCTAGCTAGCTGGCTAGGTAGCTAGCTAGCTTGCTTGCTTCTTTGGTCTGTCTGTCTTTCCTTCCTTCCTTCCTTCCTCACAGTTAACTTTGATTTGCCCTTCCTTCTTTCCTTTCTTCCTTCCACTTAACTTTGATTTTTCCTTCCTTCCTTCCTTCCTTCCTTCCTTCCTTCCTTCCTTCCTTCCTTCCT